AGGGGTGTTACAAAAACAAGCCCCGCCCAGAGGAGAGGCTGGGAAGGGAGAGGGCCTCGGACAGGAGCCCCCTGGGGAGAAGCGAGGAAAGGCATGGGGGCAGGAGGAGGAGGAGAAGGAGGGGGGTGCAGCAAATTAAAGCACCCCCCCCAAATAACCACTCACAAGTTTCTTATGAAATCCCCCGCTTTCTGTGCAAAGCCCCTAACGTTTAATAAGAGCTTTTGCACCCACTTCTGCTGCATAAATCCCTGCTTTTAGTCAAGTAGAAATTAAGTCAGCCAAAGTGAAGCTTGCTCAGCTTCTGTGACATCGCAGGCCAAGACTGGCTGCTGAGTGCCAGAACCTCAGCTTCCGACCACTGGATCCAAGAGGCACTGTTTGCGTGGACAGAGGCCCCCGAGGGAAGGTTCTGGTGAGCTGGGGGGGGGGACACAGAATACTGCAGGAGGCAACGTCGGAGGAGAGGGGCCGTTCTGACCAAGGTGGGAGGCTGGAGGAAGGAGCCCTCTCCCCACCCCCACCCCGGCTTACTCAGGGAGCTTCCCAAGGGGGCCGTGACGCGGTGGACCCCCTTCCTGGCACAGTGTCAGGCCACACGGTAGAGGGAGAAATTAAGTGGGGCAAGGCTGGAGGAGGGGGCCCCTGTGGGCTCCAGTTTTACACCCTTGTGAGTTTTGCCCAGAAGCGGGAGGTGGGGGCAGGGCACATCTGTCCAAGCACGTGCCAGTCAAACCCTCCCTGGTGCGGTGGCATAGAGACCAGGGCCAGTGCAAGCTTGCTGGGGCAGCAACAGGGACCACGGCGCCCTGCTTCAGGGTCCGTGCAGACCCTGGCCTCCCACCCACCCCAGGCAGCAGGCTGGGACACTGGGCCTCCCTCAGTGTTACTGCTCCTTGCCTCCTCGGCAGGCATGCGTGGTGCAGGGGCGCTGCGGAGACTCTTGCCAGGATGCAACTGCCCGAGTCCCTTTTAGTTAGTGCAATGACTGAGAGAAATGAGGGGATGGCGTGGACGATCAAGGCAAGAACCCTCCCGCCCCATGTCGGCACCGTGGCTTCTTCTCACTCCATCCAGAGCGCCTGGAAGCCTCTCTCTGGCTACAAACCCACACGATGGAATTCACTGGGGGCAGGAGAACCAGAAAGCAGATAAGCAAAGGGATCCCACTGCTAGAGGCCTTGGGGGAGGCCCAGCAGAAGACTGAACCTTGGCCCTTGGCAATCCGGCAGTGCCAACAGCAAGGGCTGCTGGGAGACCGGCAAGGGGGCGGCTGGAGAGGAAGCTCCGAGATTGGAGCAGACTCAGACTCCAAAGAGAGTTCCCTTTTCCCAGCAAGCACTGCAACGGCCTCAACCTTGACATCACATCCCAGCATGCACTGCAGGGGGGAGCCTCTCCAGCCGCTCTTAAAGTGCTTGTATTGAGCCTGTCCCTTCCCTCCCTGCCATCAACCTCCCAGCACGCATTGCTGCTGGATTCCCAGCAAGCCCCCCAGCTTCCATTGCAAGTCCCATCATGCACTGCTTTGAGGCAGGCCCTCTCTTCAACAGCCAGTCGTTAAAGCACTTCACCCCCACCCAGGCAGAGATGGCGACAGACAGACTAAAGTGCGTGCCCGGCAGGGGGAGCTCCCACAGACAGAGGCAAAGGGGGGGGGCAGCATCTCCTCCAACGTCTGCTGCTGCTGCTATAAGAAAGGGTTGGTGGGCGGGTGCTTCCCCAGCGCGAAGGGGACGGGTGGCGCTGTGGTCATCGGTGTCTGTGGGGGACAGACAGAAAGGCTGGTGAGCAACAGGAGGCCAGGACACCCCAGTTGCCAGCAAGGTCCCCGAGCGGTCACAGGCTCTGAGCACTCTACGAGCGGCTTCGAATAGGCAGGAAAGGAAGGGGTTCTTTGATCGTGGGGGGTGGGGGCATACCCCACAAAGTGACGGGAATGGCCAGGCTGACTCCAGTGGGGGGCCAACCCCCTCCTCCTCCTCACCACACACACACGTCCCTCCCCCAACCACTCTCCCCCACCAGAGGGGAAGGAAAGGGGGCTCCTTACCACAAACGGGTTGGTTGAAATGCCCACGGGCTGCCCAGGCGGCCTCTGCCCGACCTTGGTGATAGGAAATCCACCGAAGGGGGACCCTAAAGCAGGGGAGGAAGCCAAGCAAGAGAAGGCTGGCTTCAGCGCGGGGAGGAACAGCCGCCAGGCCTCCCCCCGCCCTTTTCTCACTCCAGACAATTCTGTCCAAGGGAAGTTCTGAGGAAGAGTCAGACTGGCAGGGACCGCCTTCGCCCTCGGGCACAGTCTTCCCGGCTCGGGCCATCCGGAGCTGCCCGCCTGGGGAACTCTCTGTCCAGGGTGCAGCCAGACACACGAAGCTGCCTGGTGCAGACGCAGCCCATCGGTCCACCGGGCGCACCCCTGCCTCCTCCGGCCTCCAAGACCTCAAAGCCCTGCCCCCCCTCCCCCCGATGCTTTAACACGAGACCTCCCATGTCTGACGAAGAAGGGAGCCCCGACACTCCAGAGCTCCTTCGCTGGACGCTTTCAAGCGGAGGCTGGATGACCCTCTTTCGGGTATGTTGTAGGGCTCTCTTTCAGTTGTGCTCCTGCAGAGTGCAGGGGGCTGGACCAGATGACAAGTGAGGTCCCTTCCAACTCTAACATTCTATGATTCTATGAATCCTAAAAATCTCGTTGGGCTCCCGGGTGCTCCTGGACTCGGATCTGGCGGTTCTGGCACAGACCAGCCCTCTGCAACCGGGACCTCCTGCCTAACTCCGAGCTGCGGACCCTCCGCCGGATCAGAGGCTGCCTTGTCCTGACTTGAGGCACAACCGCCCGTCTGCCCAGCTCAGCAGCAGCTCTCTGGCATCACAGGCAGAGAAGGGCCAGAGAGCCATGCAGCTCTGGAACCGGAAATCCTTCTGCCCTGCCTGGAGAGGCAGACAGGCACTCTGCCCCACAGCCGCTGCGCCTCCCAGTCCCCACCTAATGCTGCTCACAGGCCAAGGTTCGGTGGACTGGCTTCGGGACGCAGCTGAGGAAGTGAGGTGTCCTAGGCTCATCTCGTCCTTGAACTCAGAACTGACACAGCTCAGCTATCACGATCCACAGGAGGGACAAGGAATAGCCGGAGGGCCCCGTCCGCCTCCTTAGCTTTGTGCTTTAAAAAGTCCAGGAAAATCAACCCAGTCCCACCATTACAATAGAAAACGCCATCCCATTCTGCCACTTTTCCAGATCTACATAATGTATCCTATAGTATGACTGGCCATGGGAAAAGCAAGGGAGCTGCAATTTCACCTGGCACAGCCCTTAGACCTGCAAGTCTTTCTTCAACGCCGGAATGGCCAGAACCTCGCGCTTCATTCAGAGAAGGAATGGCTGGAGCTCAATGGCGGAGCCTCTGCTTGGCGTGCAGGAGGTCCGAGGCTCCAAGCCCCGGCAGCCTCTCCGGTTGAAAGGATCAGGCCATGGGTGATGGGGAGGACCGTCGCCCAAGGCCCCGGAGAGCAGCCGCCTGACTGAGCAGGCAACACTGACTGTGATGGGCCCAGGCGGGGGGGTCTGGCTCAGGATAAGGCGGCTTCACGTGCTCCAAGGCAGCCTCGATTCTCAGACGGCCGACATACCCACCCATCCCAGAGCTTCCTGGAGCCTGTGTGGGACATGGCGGAACTCCTGACACGGCCCCCGGGGAAGCCTTGCCCATCTGGCGGACAAGAAGAGGAGCCTCAGCCACGGGTGCCTGACAGGCAGGAGACCAGAAGGGCGAGGGAAGCCAGACCGGCGGGCCAAACCACCACGGCCTCCCGCATCTTCACGGGGACTACTCACCGCCATTCTGCTGTTGCCCCACCAGGGCCTGTGGGTGAAACTGCTGCTGCTGCTGCAAGGGAGACGCGAAGATGCCAGAGAGGGGGGAGGCAGAGAAGCTGCTGGGGGAGCCCACCACGAAGGCGCCTGCAAGGAGAGAGCCAGAGGGAAGGACCTCACAGGGACCCCACAGCCAGCCAGGAGTCCTGGTGCCCTGCTGAGCCCAACTCTCCGCTCCACCTTACTTCGGGAAGCTGTCGGGCAGGCCGGCTGCAGCCCAGACTCTTCCATGAGGCTGCTGGCCTCACCTGCACAGTTGCCGTCTTACCAGAACCAGAGTTGGGAAAACTTACTTCCCACATTCTCTGCCACAGGGGTTTTAACATTTATTTAGGCTCAATTACGAAGAGGAGGAAGAGATTGGATTTCTACCCTGAAGGAGTCTCAGAGCGGCTTACAGTCTTCTTTCCCTTCCCCTCCCCACAACAGGCACCCTGTGAGGTAGGTGGGGCTGAGGGAGCTCTGAGAGAAAACGCTCCTGAGAGGACAGCTCGGACGGAGAGCCATGACTGACTGCTATTTGCTTGAGGACACTCTAGCTCTGACTTTGATAGCCACACAGGTGCTTTTTTGGACCTAAATTGGAAAATGTTCTAATTCAGCCACTATGCATTTGGCACCAGACACATGACTTTCACCTTTTGAGGCCTCACAAACATCTTTGTCGTGTGTCTTTAGATCTTGCTGCTTAACCTTCCTCTTCCTCGTCCAATATTCACTTATTGGTTATCTTATTGCAATACGTATTTAAGTTATGTGTGCCTCAATATTGTTTGACCTCTGAAGAAGGCCCCAGTAGGGCAGAAACGCCTCAGGTCATGTGTACTGGCCCTTGTGTTTAGGCTTTACTTTTTTACGAGGCTTTCATTGGGCCCTTATGTATGTTTTTAACTGTCTTTCTAATAAATACATGTCTTTTTGTATATTATAAGTTTTAACTAGGTTTTTAATATTGGCCCTTCATTTGACTCTCTTTTCACCCTTTTGGTTCTTGACCCACGGTCACACCAGCAGCTGCATGTGGAGCACTGGGGAATCAACCCTGGTTCTCCCAGATTAGAGTCCGCGCTCTTAACCACTACGCCAAACTGGTGTATAACGACAACAGGACACTATTTCCCATCCACAGTCCCGTCCTCTAAGCTCCAGCTTGCTGTCAACTAGCATCTCTTGTGCGTTTGGGGCTGTGAGGTGCATCAGCATCCCCCTGGGATGGAGGAAGAGGCCCCCACCCACTGGGGCCCAACCACACGGAGGAAGGCCGAGAAGGCCCCACCCGAGGCCTCTCGTGAAGCCATGAACGGTTGATACATCATCCCCACGGCCACCACAGAGAGGGGATTTGTGGTGCCCAAACTAAGCGCCTTTAAAGTAACAAGGGGAACGATCTCCCACTGTCAAGACGATCTGTGTCGTCCAAGTGGATTGATTGACACAGGGATGGCAATGACAGCGGGGGGGACGGGGACAAGGGCCCTGTCTGAACGAGGGGGATGTGGGCAACGCACCGAAACATTTGCATGATTCCAGCCATACAAAGAGAAACACAAACTGCTGGGGTCAATTTAAATACAATGAAATGCAATATTTAAATCTTCTAACAATCAAATACGCTTGTCTTTTCAAACAGTACAGTTCGGGGCCTGATTTAAAGATGACCGGGCTGGGGCAAACGCACACCCTTCCCCCCCCCCCCCCCCCCCCGTAGGAGGCTGCTATCCAAGCCAATCAGCTGTACCCATGCCTGGTCTTGCAGGAGAGTGCTTTCGCCTCACGCTTCAATCAAGACTTATTTGGCCCCATGATGGTCACAGGCTGCAGTGGAGGGAAGGCCAGCCGGCTATTTGGAGAGGCTGAGGGGGACCGCCTCTCTTGGAAGCAGGCACCCCCCCACACCTTCTGCCTCCTCCTCTCCCCCTTCTCCCATAACCCCCCGGGGCAAGAAGATGAAGTGAGGGCTGGTGGGGGCTTACCTGGGGCCAAGCCGTTGGTTTGGAAAGGGTTCGTTGAAGGCAGCGTGGGCTGCGAGATGGCCGATGTCGCAAAGGGGTTGGTGCATGCTGCATGAGAAAAAGGAGAGGTAGCAGAGGGAATGGGCAGGCAAGCTGCCCCCTTTAAAGGAAAGACACGGAAGCACTTACCCCCGTAGGCAGCGGCTGGGCTGGGCGGAGGCAAAAGAGGTGACTGGCTCAGGGCACCAAAGACACTGGCAAAGGAAGAGACGGGTTCAGCGCAGACAAGAGACGGGCAGCCACTCTCTCGGCTCCAGAGGGCCTGCTCTCTCCCATCAGGGCACAGAGAGGTCCTGAGGCCCCTTATCCACGGGAAACAGAATACCTGCTCGGGACTCCTCCCACTCGGAAAGTGCCGCCCATGTCTGGAATGCTCACTCCTGGCTGGCTGGCAGGAGACGCAGGGAATCCGCCCATGTGTGTGCCACCTGGAACAGGGAGGAAGAGCCCCATCAAGCAGGGAGCCTGTACGAGTAGGCGGCTTCTGTAACTTCTCCAGAACAAAAGGGAGGGGGGAAGGGGAATGTCCACCACCACCCTCACCGAGAAGCCAAGAAGTCCAAGGACCCAGTGGCCCTGGCTTCCCAACACATGATCTCCAAGCCTGCCCCTCCCCCATGTTAACAAAATGCTGATTTTTCCCACACCAGAGGGACGGTCCCCTGTCCAAAGCCTCCAGAGTCCTGCCTCCCAAGTGGCTCACCACCTCCAAGGGGCCAAAAGAAGGTGCACACAGAGACGCAAGGAGGCTTCACCTGCTGGAATTGGCTGGCTCTGGAAAGGGCTTGGGCTGGAGGGTAACGGGTCTCCAAAGGCCGACGCTGCGGGACTTCCACCAAAGGCATCAAAACTGGTGAAAGCGGCCTGGGCTGGCACCTGGCCTGAGAGAGCAACAGGTTGGGGGCAGAGCTTGGAAGGGAGGCAGAAGACCCCCTTCCTCTCCCCAGCGGTGCCAACCTAGCCTGGGAGTTCTCTCTGGCTGAGAACGGCGGTCTCTCAAGAATGCCGCGTGAGGTTCTCCAGGGGAGAGCGTGATTGCCACACAACACCTCGTATCTGCGCAGGCGCACTCTCCAACGGGACAGGATTTCACTCACCTCCAAAGGCAGGGAAGGCGGTAAAGGCCGGTCCAGACTGAGGCGCAGCAAAGGGGTCTCCTCCAATGTCGGCCAGAAGGTCCATGCTGGTTTTCTTGGCTGGCTGAGGGCCTTGCAGTTGGGACTTGTCCACAGACTGGAAGACAAATGTTCGTCAGCCCGAAGGCCAGAAATCCCACCCCCACCAGTTCACCACCTTCCCCTCCTCGCCCGTGCTGGGGGACAGACCCCGGCACGCACCCTGGCAGCCTGTGTTAAGAGAAGAAGAGGAGACTGGATTTATACCCCATGGCCCTTCACTACCCAAAGGTGTCTCAGAGTGGCTTACAAACTCCTTTCCCTCCCCCTCCCCACAACAGACACCCTGTGAGGTAGGCGGGGCTGAGAGAGCTCTGACAGAAACTGCTCTTTTTTCGAGGACAGCTCTTATCAGAACTACGGCTTGCCCAAGGTCATCCAGTCAGGTGCAAGCGGAGGAGTGGGGAATCAAACCCGGCTCTCCCAGATTAGAGTCTGCGCACTTCACAACGACACCAAACTGGTTCAGAGCATATTCTGACTGGCAAACGGGGGGAAGAAACAGCCACAGAAGTAGGACCCAAACGAAGAGGTGGCCATGAGTTGGCTTTCGTGTAAACGAGATGGCTTGCTGAAAGAACCGAGAGGCCGGGGTTCCCCATCTCTGGCCCTTCGCGGAGGAGGCCAGGTGCCTTCTTGCCAGAGGCCTACTGCACACCACCATGTTCACACCGAGGGTCCCCCGCATCAGAATGCAAGCAGCCCCGCCCCCTATCTGGACCTGCACCAAGGAAGCCTTCATTATTGGGGTGGGGGGAGGAGCATTGGCAAGCACAGCAAGAGACCACCAGAGCAGAAGTGGGTGGCAGCACTCCGTGAGGTCACCACAGAAGACCAGTGGAAGGACGTCACGTCACTAATGTGCCGCGTTCATACTTAGGTTACGTCTCTGTTTCTTCCTGGTGGTTCCAAGCTTCCAATACCCTAATGCATTAGTCACAGAACGTCCTGTTTTGTTGATTGTGCTGACTCACTCTGTGGAACCCACCTGGGGTCCATGTGACAAAGGCGGACGATAAATCATGTAAATAAGTAAATATATATCCCCAAGAGCCTGACCGGAGAGGCAGCCCCAGCCACCACCGCTCCAGAGGAGGACAAGGCAGGCAGTGGAAACCATGCAAGGAAGTCAGGACTCCACAACGGGGACAGGGTAAACCCCCCCACGGGCCAGAAGGCTCACGGGCTCAGGAAGCTGGCTTGAAGGCAACGCATCTCCTGGCCACATACGCCCCCTTTTCACTTGCTCACAGCCGACATAAGCCTGATTCGGAGGCCCTGGCACCAGGAAGACCCTGCTCAGCTCAAGAGTTATGGGCAGCAGTTCCAACCTGGGCAGGCTTGACCGCCATAGCCACTGGCCCCGAGTCCCCCAACAGTGTCTTGACCTCTGCGGCGGAGCTCTGGGCAGCCAGAGAAGTTAAGCCTCTGCCTTGGTCAGGCGTGACGTACCTGCAGACAGAGCCAGATGGGAGGATCAGTCACCCCGCACAGCCTCCCGGAGCCACCTCCCCCCCCTTTCCCCTGGATCCCTGTTTGCTTTGACTCTGCCTTTCATGAAGGCTCATATTTGGGTACGGGAACAAGTTAGGAAAGATAAGCAAATGACTCCGACGCGCAACACTTTGTGCACCAGTTAATCTTCTGGGACAGAACTTAGAGCTCGTTGCAATGAGGGAGGCCCTGACTTCAGCCCTCCCCAGCCCCTTTTCTCCCTTGCCTCACCATCGCTTCTTCTCATATTTCTCCTGCAGAAAGTCCTTCAACTTCTGAGGGTCCTGGGAATCCGGAAGTAGAGACGTCCGCGAGTCAAAAGAGCCCAGGTCTTTTCGCAGGGCGAGGGAGGGTTGGGGGGGGGGGGGAGAGAAAGAATCAGAGCAGGAACTTGCAGTCAGGGGGAGGGGGGTGGTCAGAGCAAGATCCCAGACCATCTCCCTCTAAATCCTTTCCTCTCCCCGGCTCCACTTCCCAGCCAAAGTCCCGGGTCTCCTTCTGTCACAGGGGCAGGGACCAGCCTCCAACTCACCTGGTTCCCACGAGACTGGAGGAACTGTACCTCGCTCTCGGTGAAGGTTGTCATGGAGATAGATTTGACCCGGTGAGGGGGATTCAGGCCGCGGCTGCGGGGGGATGAGAAAAGGGTACCTTCCGTACAGAGCAACTGATAGGAAGCCAAGCCTCAGCCGCCCCGAAAGGCACAAAACTAGGACTCTTGAGTTCTAGCCCAGTTCAAGGAACTACGCGCCCCAAGTGAGCCCTGATGCCGAGAGCCATCCTGCAGGAGGGGAGGGGATAGGACAGTCCCAGAAGGAGCACCAGCCCTCAGGACCAAGCCATATCTGGACGTCACCCCCCCCCCAAAGGCTTCTGCTGGCTGAGCTATGCCCTCGCTTTCTGCCACCCAGAACTGCTGACATACAAGTTCTTGGCCTGCAGCCGTAAATTATTCAGAGGCCTCACATGAAATATTCAGAGAGCCATTCGTGCAGCGGCAGGCCTCACATGTGAATGACCCACTTGGGGGCTGGGGCGCCAGGGCCCTGGATCTTGCTGCGAGTCACACTTGCAGCTCTTCTTTACAAGGGCATGCAAGCACCAGAGAGAGGAGCAAGGGCTCCATTGGGTCACAGGGGGGACACAGGCGGGGTTATCTGCTCTAAACTTTCCAGGCCCTGAAAAGGGAGTCCTCGGATGTCACCCACCGCCTGCCTGCAACCCCTCCCTGGCATGATGGGATCTTTGTCAGGAACTCATCCCCGCCCCAGGAAAAGTAGGGGACAAGCCCAGTGCAATACCGCTGTATGCTGAGGACATCGTGTTGCTATCCTTTACTCAAACAGCTTTAAGAGGGAATTAGATAAGCATATGGAACAGAAGCCCATCAGTGGCTATTAGCCACAAGGTATAGATAGGAACTCTCAGGCTGGAGCAAGTGATGCTCTGTATTCTTGGTGCTTGGGGGGGGGGACAGTGGGAGGGCTTCTAGTGTCCTGGCCCCACTGCTGGACCTCCTGATGGCACCCGGTATTTCTGGCCACTGTGTGACACAGAGTGTTGGACTGGATGGGGCACCGGCCCGATCCAGCCTTGGCTTCTGTTATGTTCTTAAACAGGCCTTAGAACAAAGTTTGAGTCCAGTAGCACCTTCAAGACAAACAAAATTTAATTCTGGGTATAACCTTTCAAAAGTTCCACTGGACTCAAACTTTGTTCTACTGCTTCAGACCAACACGGTTACCCACCTGAATCTATCAAACAGGCCGTGGAAGACTGTTCAAGCAGTTTAGTTCTTATGGTAAAAATGACCTTCTTAGTGTTAACTCAGACAAAACTAAGGTTATGGTTTTAGCCAACGGGCTCATATTCCTCAGATGCCAATGGACAGGCAGCAATTTGAGCAGGTGTCTCACTTTAGGTATTTAGGGTCTGTATTCCCGTCGGCCAGGCTCCTGGGCAGTCGACACTGCCTCCCAAAAGAAGGCGGAAAAGGCTGTCTTTGCCCCCTCCCCAACAAGGGCTCCTGTCTACAACCCTTTGGACAAGCCCATGCCCTCATACTGTCCCAGTGCACCCACCCCCACCCCCTCACTTGCTCCTCAATTCTGCGGCAGACAGGGGTAACCTCAGGGTACAGCCCCCCCCCATATCGTCATGCCTGAGAGCTATGGCTCATGCTGCATTTTGAAGAAAAGAGTTTCACTTGATCTGCAGAAAATCAAATGCACATCTGCAGTGGGGACACGTGTGAGAGTGCAGCTGTCTGTAGTCTGGTCACTTAAGTACGTGCTGCAGGCTGGGGCACTCCCCTGCATAGGAGCAGTCAGCAATGGGGCTTCGCTCCCCGCTGCAGTTCTTTCCACCCTAGCTCTGTCTGGCAGGGCTTGGCACAGGTGAGTTCCTCTGCAGACCAGATAGGACCTGGGTGTGTAAAGGCAGATGTCGGGACTAGGCAGGGAACATCAGAAGAGCCCTGCTGGATCGGACCAGTGAGGGTCCATCTAACCCAGCATCCTGTCTCCTCACGCAGTGGCCCTGCCTGCCTCCTGGTTCTGGGATTCAGAGGTTGACTGCCTCTGGATGTGGAGGTTCCCCTCCGTCGTAGCCACTGACAGACACCATTAATCTGTCTGAGCCTCGTTTAAAGCTGTTTTATTCCTGTGGCCATCACGACATCCTCGGGCAGCGAATTCCAGGTCTGCCTTCTCCCCGCTGCCATAAAAGGAGGAAAAGCCCCATTGGGACGCCCTGAAAACTAGCACGTTTCCTGCGGCAGGAGCTTTCCCGGGTGCAGATCCGCGCTGCTGGTTGAGGCTCCCGTGCCTTTCTCGCGACCCGCGCGATGGGTGACTGAGGAAAGGCGCCCCCTCCCCCCCCCTGAGTAACGGTGCTTGCGGGGAGGCGGCCTCTGGGCCCCGCGCCTTGGCTGTGGTGCAGCAGACTGCTGGGCTGGAGAGGGGCCCTCGTCGGGCTGCGCTGTTTGCAGAGGGTGACCTTGGGCCGCGGCTCCCTCCCTCCCTCCCTCCCGCGGCGGGGAGGCCAACGCGGGGTCGCAGGGCTGGCACCGTCCACACGTGCACCCAGGCCCCGCGGGAGAAGACACGGGGACGAGACGGAGGGCCCGCCCCTCCCGCACTCACAGCGCCCCCGAGCAGCCGGTGCAGACGAAGCTGCCGATGGTGATGTCGACGTAGGTGACGCCGCGCTGGCCGCACTCGAAGCACAGCCGGTTGGCGGGCTCCGCGCCGACCAGCTCCCTCACGCGGCGGGACCAGACCTCCGACTCCGAGTCCCGCGGGGAGCCGGGCTTCCTCGCTCCGGACCCGGCGGCCGCCATCAGCGCCAACCTTCGCCCCTCAGGCGCTCTCCCGGCACTGCGCATGCGCCGGCGGCCGCCCCTTCTCCGCGCGTGACGCACGCTCCGCCGCCTCGCCGCTCCCCCGGCCCACCCGCTCGGCCGCCCCCCCC